TTCAGTAAGTTTGTTGTTTTCATAGCATTTTTCTGTGGAAGCTAGAATTGACCTGGTAATTCGAGAATTCTTTAACCACTGGGTAAAAGACTACGGCTCCCTCGACTATTGTTAGTGACAGAGACTCCTGGTTCACCAGTGAACAATGGCAGCAACTGATGAGTGTCTATGGCCCTAAGCTGACGATGTCGTCAAGCCGACACCCTGAGACGAATGGGCACACAGAGCAAATGAACAAACTTTTGCAGCAAACGCTGCGCATATACATTCGTCCCGACTGGGAAGAGCATTTGCCCAAAGTTGCTAGTGCCTATAACAACTCTATGCACTTTACTTGTAAAACTCCAATTAAGTTGCATCTGGGATGGTGTCCCCACAGACCTATAGATTGTCTGATCCCGGATTGAGTACATAAACTTCCGCTAGGGACTAGAGAATTTGCAATGCAATATCAGAAAAACTTAAAAAAGGTAAAGGAAAACATACTAAAGGCGCAGCATCAGATGGTCGAACAGGCTAATACGCACATAAGACCTTCTCAGTTTGTTGTAGGCGATCTGGTGTGGGTGAAATCAAAACAATTTGTCCCAGAAGAGAACGTTTCCCAGAAGTTGTTACCTGCCTAAAGAGGACCTTGGCAGTATTGGGCGTGATAGGAGACGTGGATGGACCCTCCTACGTTATTGAGATACCTCCACACTTGCATACCTACCCGGTGTTCCATGCATCAAAGCTCTTACCTTGCGTGACTAACGAACTGTTTCCCAGTCGAAGATCAGCAATTCCTATGAGTGTGGATGGGCGATTTGATGTTGATAAAATCGTTGTTGAAAGTACTATTCGGGCTGGACGCAAAGGTAGACCTCAGCAGCAATACAAGGTTAGATTTGCATATCAGGATCCAAGTGAACACCGCTGGTACTGTAGGGAAGAGCTAATGGAATCTGCACCAAAAATAGTTTCCTACTATGAGAGAGCAAGATGAGGTGCTAATGTTGTAGACAGATAGGTGTTTCTCAGAGGACTTCGAAATTAGGCTGGCGAGAGTAAAAGGGCCTTTACTAGACCCCAATATAAACGGGGCCCTGTTGGCCAGAATTCCATTTCACGAGCAGCCTTCTAAAGGACAAGTCCCTTGAAGCAAATGTCGCATCCAAAATGAAATGAAAATTCGTTTTGAAAAGTCACGGACAGGTCCTAGATGAACAGGTGCTGGGTTCAAATTTTAAGTCTGAGATAGGGTCATGTCTGTTCGACAACAAGTCAAAAGATCACAATCCCAGACCAGTCACAATCCCAAGGGTCAAATCTGATTCAGATCAGGAGTCCAAAAGACAGGCCCGTCGGCCAGATCAGCATTAGACTATAGGAAAAGATACTCGGACGCACACTTTGCAACAACAGGTACTCGCCTGGAGTTCCCGAAACATGGAGGCCGAATGCAGACCACGCCAGACCAGTGTAACGCTATAAAGGACTGGCCAGCCTCCCCATTCGGCAGATACTCGTTCGCATGAGAGTGTGGAAGTGTTGAAGGCACTTGTGCGCCCGATGTGATTGAGCTGCGCTAGATGTGATTGAGATGCACCAGGCTTGAGAGTTGCGCTAAGTAAGATAGAGTTGGGCGCTGGCAGGAAGGAAGGCAGCCATAGCTGCGCCAGTGCCAGTTAGTATTAGTAGTAGGAATAGTTAGAAAAGAAGACCAGTGAGTAGTATTACGAGTAGATCCTTGTGTGATAGGGAGTGTAGATGCATGGAGAGTGTGAGTAGACCAAGGCTATAGACATTGCGAGAGAAGAAGAGAACAGAAGAAGAGAAGAGAGAGAAGTGAGCTATGGTGGAACTTATCTGTTGAGCGTTGTTCTTAACGATTGGTTGATGGTGCTGATAAGCGTCAGGCTTGGAACTCTTGTTGGATGAAGAAGATTTGTGATATTGTTGGGCGCTCAACTTTTTGAACTTGTGATTCTCTTTCTTTAATCTGGTTACGAAAATTGAGTTGCGCTTCCTGGTTTCCACTCATCTTTCATTGAACTTCGTGTGAGATATTGCAATCTGTGTGATTTGTGTTATATGCATTCTATCTAAATTCAGTGTCGTCTTTTTGTAACCGAAATGTCTGGTTGCGTCGTGGCAACTTACTTAAAAACGAACTATGCAAACACTCTATTTGGGATACAGAAACATTTATTCTCAGCCTTCTCAAGGAACAGCAAGCCGTCAACCAGCTCAAACTCATTGGAAGTAGCCTTGTTTTTAGCTTCCAGTTTAAGGATGATCTCAGACATGACAGTGTCGTCTTGATAGGCTTCCACCATAGATGAAGTCACATCATCATAAATCCCAAATTCGGTCACTAGTGCGCCCAGATAGTCAGGCCTACGCGATAATGCAGCAGCCACTCTATTGTACTCTCCCTTCATAAGGTCAAGCTTGAAGTCATACATATCTATGACTTCAATACACCTCTTGAGTGCGTCAAAGAGCACGGACTGTGTCTTGATCCAGCGCACTGTCCCATGGTCCAATCTCACATAAAAGAATCTGCCTAGGAGATGGAGCCTCCAATGGACGAGCTCTCCGTAGAGGGCATAGAGTTGACACTCATACCTGGACCTAGCTAATTTATGAGATGGCATCTTTTTGCTCATGTACTCGATTGGCCTCAACTTTTTTCCTTCCTTTTGCACAAGGACCACGCCTATGCAGTATTGGTTGGCGTATGTGGTCTCAACAAAGGGTTGTTCAAGATCCAGAAACTTGAGGACCTCATAGTGCATCGAGGCATACTTCAATCTCTTGAAGGCTTCACACTCTCCGGTCCACTCCCAAGGGGTGTCAAGGCGCGTGAGGTCAATTAAAGGTGAAGCTACAATACTATAGTTCTTTACAAACGGGCGCTAGTAGCCTGTCATCCCAAAAAATGACGCCACCTGAGTCACAAACTGAGGTCTGGGCTGGTAACATATGTTGGCCACTTCGGCATCATCCGGGGTCAACCCATCCACGAAAATCTAATGACCCAAATGAAGGATCTTGGTGCAACCAAATTCGCATTTCTCCAAGTTAAACTTGTATTGATGATGTCTTAGAAAACCTAGCACTGTTTTCACGTGCTCAGCGTGCTCCTCTATAGTCCTACTAAAGATGAGGATATCGTCAAGGTACACGAGGATTAACTTGTCTAAGCAGTCGTGAAAGATCCAGTTCATTGCGTCTTGGAACATCCCCATAGCATTGCATAGGCAAAAGGGCATAACCACAAACTCGTACATACTGTACCTGGTCAGAAAGGCTTGTTTTATGCTAGTCCTCGGGTCTAATAGTAATCTGATGGTATCCAGACTTCAGATCTATCTTTGTGAAGTATTGGCATCACTGCACCCTATCCACGAGGTCTTCGATCGTGGCAGGGGCTCCACATTCTTAACAGTGATGGCATTGAGGCCCCCGTAGTCCATACAGATCCTTAGGGTCCCCCCTTTCTTTGGGACGAATAAAACTCATGCTGCGTAGTGAGATATACTTGGCTGGATCCAGCCCTTCTTTGTGAGCTCCTTGAGCTGGCGGCGGAGCTCATCTAACTCCGCAGGAAAAATCCTATGGATCCGCCCTCTAGGTAGATTGCAACCGGGGACAACTTCTATCGCGTGGACAATCTCCCTTTCTACCATACCCCTAGGCTCCTCAAAGAGGTCTAAATATTGTGCAATGACTGCTTCTATCTCTGGGGTTGATTTTATGGCCTCCCCTTTCTCAAAGACAAAGACTAGGTGCATTACTTCCTCGCGATTCTGCTTATAATAGTAATAGAAAAACGAAGCACACATGCAACCATAGTTCTCCACTAGTTTGCTAGCCTTAAACTTTTGCAGCCTAACGGTCCTGCCATGTAGCAACTTGTAGATCATCACCTTCCAATCCCAATCGAACTGAAGCTTAGCAACCTCACGGTAGTACATGCCTTGCAGCATGTCGAATGGCAGCTCATCGCTAACTAGAACGAGATCTTATGTCTCAGTTCCCCTCCTCCATAGGAGAAGGTGCAGACTACATCCTTGACATAGTCACTAACTATCATCCAGCGTTTGTTAGCCAAGGTAGATGCTACAAATCTGCTAAGCATGCACTTGGTCCCCTAAGCGCAACCTATCCACACAAGCACGACTGATGAAACTCCACGTAGAACCTATGTCTGCGAAGTCACCAACCTTCTGGCCACCTATATTGACTTCTACCACGAAATGTTCACGACTGATGAAATTCCACGTAGAACCTATGTCTGCGAAGGCACCAACCTTTTGTCCACCTATATTGACTTGTACCACGAAATGTTCACCCTTCGGACCTTTGTTCAACATCGCCCAGGACTCTCTAGGGTCTTTCTCAAACCACTCAGTCTCAAACTCCTCTAAGGGCTCAGACACATCCATCGCATAGAGCATCGATTGGTCCGGATCTGTCTGCAAGGGGACTAATGGGTCAATAGATTTGGTGTTGCATACTGTAACGGTGCAGACCAGAACAAGGACCGACCTCTCAATACAAAGTACAAGATAGCGTAACGAAAGACTTAGATACCAATGATCCGAACAATCAATATTGCAATGCGGCCAAAAACATACATCATCATCATCATCTCCATGGTGTGAAGGGGTCTAGCGCTCATACAGGAAGAAGGCACCAGCCCCGAACCATACACAGACGAAGAAGAGGGGGGTTAGACGAAGAGGAGGGGAAGATGGGAATGTCGTTAACACCAAGTCTTCGGCACAGGCCCAAATAGTCCCTCGTCAAATGTTTGAATCCCAATGTCGTGTCTAGATCCAATGTCGTCAAGTCTCAAGTCACAACTCTCTCTCTCTGTAGTAGTCCGCTGATACTGAGAAGGAGGTGGCGAGAGGGAAAGAAGACATGGAGGACTTGGAACAGGAAGAAGAAGAACTCTCTCTCTCTCTCTCAGTCCGGTACTAACCTGTGAAGTTGGCGCCTTGATGCAGGTACCTCGAAGATGGAGCTGGAGCGATGGCGCCAAAGGTAAGTCCCACTGGCCTCCGCCAGTCATCTCTCCCAACTCTACTACTACCACCTACTAGCGCCCAACGCTGAAGACTACTGCTATGGCTACTAGCGCCCAGCGCTGAAGACTACTACTAGTGCTAAGCTACTCCCTGCACCACTCCTCCTGAGTGCTGCGGCTGAATCCTGAAGACTACTCGTGCCTACTGTCCAACTACCTACCCGTGAAGTGCATGGGAACTTTCTATGTACTACTTGGGTACCTCCTCGCTGCAGGGCGAGGCAGTCCAGGAGGCTGCTCTTGCCAATGCCGAAGGCAGTCAGGGGCTGCCGTTGCGGCTCCTGCTCGAGGCTGTCAAGGGGAGCAGGCCTGAAATAGCCTGTTCCCAAAACCCTGTTTTTGTGCCTAAGGTTTAGGGTAGGTCCATCTTATGAGGGCCCGAAAGTCGCCCTCCGTTTCAGGCTGAAAAGCCTCAGGGCTGAAAAACCCTGATATAGGCTGAAACGAAATAGGGCCTGCAGGCCCTCGTTTTTCAGTCTTTCAGGCTGAAACGACAGGGGCCTGTAAGCCCTTATTTCTATGCTTTTAGGCTGGAAATGCGGGACAGGCCCTGCAGGCCCGTGTGGCTACGCAGTATGCCACACCTCCCCCTCCTTGAAAGACCGAGCTTACCTACGAGGGTGAAGCTGTCTATCTGAGGGAGGGACCACAATCCAGGTGGGAGGGGCAGGTCGTGAAGGTCCCTGAGCTAACCTTTGTCGCTCATAGTGAGCGTAGATCAGCGGTGCGGATGCTTTCAAATTTGTTCCTGAAATCCACCGAGTGTCGTCGGGATTGCATGCTTTGAATGTAACTTTGTGCTGTCGAGGCTTACTGCCGTACTTGAGATCCGTGATGACGCGGTCAACTTCCTGATGACCATCCATAGATGGAGGGTCTTGCGATCGTCGGCCCGGGAAGTCGTCGCTCTTAGCTGGTGTATATGTTGCCAGCTTCGAGGCATGAAAGACTGGATGGACCATCAGATGCGGGGGGATGTTGATCACAAATGAAGGGCCATCGGGTTCATCGTCCGCGGCTGATGTTACGGGCCATGGTCCAAACCACTTGGGAAGCAGTTTGCATGAAACATCCTGTTCCAGTGCAAACTCTTCCGCGGAGACCCAAACCAGATCACCGGCGCGGATGGGACATGGCACGCGACGCCTGTTGGCTTGCTGCTGCATGCGAACTTGAGCCTTTTGCATATTCGCGCAAGCTCGAGCCAACAATTCCCTGTACTTCCGGACGGAAGCAGGAGAGCAAGCGGCGTCAATGTCGGCTGGTCGTGGGAGGAGAAGGACGGCGAAGATACGGCCGTTCCATCCACAGCGGTGCAACTCGAATGGAGTCACGCCGATCGCCGGGTGCACCGAAGTGTTGTAGGCGAACTCGATGTCGGGGAGGCGGTCAACCCAATCTTTCTGGTGCGGACGGATGAGCGTACGAAGCATCATTTAAGCGGTTTGATGTGCCCGCTTCGTTTGCCCGTCCGTCTGTGGATGCCGAGCAGAACTTGGTTTCATCTTCGTGCCGGACTCCTGCATGAGAGCAATCCAAAATGYCGACATGAAGCGARTGTCRCGGTCGCTGACTATGTCTTCCGGTACACCGTGGCCGCAAATCCAACCAGTGTGCAAGAGGCGTGCCAGCTCGGGAGCCGTGGAGTAGTACTTGCAAGGGAGAAAACGCGCATACTTACACAATCGGTCCACAACCGTGAGGATGCCGTCGTGCCCGAGGCGATCGCGGGGAAATGGTCCGATGACATCCATGGCAATGGAGAAGCCGGGTTCCCGTGGGATAGGCATCGGGCGCAATTCGCCGTAGGGGTTGCGATTGCGGGGCTTGCTTCGTCGGCAAACTTCGCAAGAGTCGCAATACCGAGTGACATCGGTAATGAGGTCGGGCCATCGGAATCGTTGTCGAAGCCGTGCAATGGTGCGGTTGACTCCGAAATGGCCGGCGAGTCGCGAGTCATGATACTCACCGAGAAGGCGAGTCCGAAGACGACGGTCTCGTGGGACACAATAAATCCTTGCCTCTCGAGTGGAGGAGCAAGTACCCATTGGCAATGTGATAGTGGCTGGCCAGCGGGTGATCCGAAGATAGCTGCGCGTACAACGTGGCGAAGTCCTAATCCGACTCATATCCGGATGAAGTCTCGCTTAAGTTCCTCGTCAAATGCGAAGGCATGATGTGTCATAGCGCAAAGATCAGGTCTTCGCGAGAGTGCATCTGTTGCGCGATTGGAGAGGTCGGGAAGATGTTTCGGTGTGAAGTCAAATTGGTCGATGAAATAGATCCATCGCTTGAGAGCCATGACGAATGCGAGTAGCTCCTTCTTCCTTGCATCATCAAGCGAGTTGATGGGAGGCACTTTGTGGCTGAAATACTCCCCAGGGTGTCAGTCATCGCCGTCGTGTTGTTCCAAGACTGCCCCAATGCCATAGTCGGAAGCGTCAGTTGTCACTCTCGTAGGCAGGGTGCGGTCATAGATGCTAAGGACGGGTGCCATGAGCATGGCCGTCTCAAGTGCTTGGAATGACCGGCGTGCGTCGTCATCGAATACGAATGGCACCTTTGGCGATTGTAATCTCGCCATAGGTGCAGCAATCCTTGAGTATCCGGTGATGAATCGCTGATAGTAGCCCGCCAACCCCATGAATGAACGAACGTCCGTGGTGTTGGTGGGCTCGGGCCATACACGGAGGGCCTCAATCTTGTCCGCAAGCGGACAAATGCCTTGCGGCGTCACATAATGTCCCAAGTACTCCAGCTCCTGGCGCGCGAATTCGCATTTGTCGTAGTTGGCTTTGTACTTGGCTTGTCGTAGCCGCTCCAAAACGGTTACGTAGGTGTTCTCCACATGCTCGTCCAAACTCCGACTGTACACTAGGATGTCGTCGAGGTAGATAAGTACGAATCGATCCAGCATGTGTCGGAACTCCGTTGTCATAGCCGCTTGGAAAGAGGTCGGGGCATTCGTAAGGCCAAATCGCATGACCAACCATTCGAAATGCCCATATCGCATCTTAAACGTGGTCTTGTAGCGGTCCTCCTTCCGAATCTCGAGATGGTGATATCCCGACTTGAGGTCCAGCTTGGAGAAGAACTTGCCCAGTCGTTCGAGAAGGTCGTCGATCCGTGGGAGAGGGCCGGCGTTTCTGATCGTCTGCGCGTTGAGCTTGCGATAATCGATGCACAACCGCAAATCCTTGTTCTTCTTCCGGACGAAGAGAACAGGAGCACCGTATGGCGATGAGCTAGGCCGAATCCAGCCCCTCTCTAGAAGGTCGTCGAGTTGTGCCCGTAGCACACTTAACTCTTCCTCGCTCATTCGGTATATGCAACCGCGCGGAGGTACGGACCCGTCCTCGAGGATGATCTCGTGGCGGATGGGCCGATCCGGAACTACTCCATGCGGGCCTTCGAACACGTCGCCGTAGGCGTCGAGAAGCTCGGTGATGCGTGGGTCCGAAGATAGGGCGGGAGGGCATGGAGAAAACACACCCCCATCTCCTTGATGTCGTCTCTGATGATGGAAGCTCGCATGCTTGCGGCGGACACCACGTGACAGCTGATTGAAGGGTGAGGAGGAGCTACCGTGCATGGGATTAGTACTCCGTTCCGATCACGAACGTGAACCGTGCGGCGGTAGAAGTTCACCGGGTGATCCTCGCTTCGCAGCCATGACATGCCCAAGATCATGTCGAATTTGGTGTCCAAAATATCGAACAACACCTCCTCGCTCGCGTGCGGGGCGAAGTACACGGGGACGTCATCAATGCACTGGTCTATTGACTTGTGCGTGTGACCGTCCGCCAACGTGACTTGCGTCGGTTGGGACTTCCTTCGGACGCGTGGGCCAAGGCCGGCGCGTACAATAAAGTCCTGGCTCATGTAGTTGCGAGATGCTCCGCAATCGATCAAAGCGCTGCAGGTCGCCTCTCCGATCTGAATGAGTACATATAGCAATGGTGTGTCGATGTCGTCGTACCGTTGCGTCTTGAACTCGCGGTCGATCTTCGCAATGTAGGCGTGAAGGTCGACAACCTCTACTCCGGCGTCCATCAACGGAGTTGGTACTGCAGTGTGCAAGTAATCCCGCAATTGTGCCATGAGCACGTTGCAATGCGATTTCGACAATCGACCGGACCGGGGAAGGGGCATCCATTGGAAGTCCGCAAATGTCAACGGGTCGAGCTCTTCAAGTCTTGACCATGACGTTGAATCCCCGGCGGTAGATGGCGGCRAAGYTGCCGAATYGGTTGCCGATGGTGATGAAACCGTGCATGCGGTAGATTGTTGCACGTGGAGCGGTTGGTCCAGCAGTGGGACCAAGTGGACAGCATAGTCCTCGTAAGTGTACGGAGGACTTACGACATGCGCATCCTCCCGAGATGTGTAGGAGGCCGCTAGCAAGGCGGTCGAATCTGGCGGAGTGAGGGGTGGAGTCGCCTCACCTCCTGCACGACTCAGTTTCCCAAGTTAGTACGAGGCCGAACATCCTCCTTGCCTTGATCAGGGCATTGGGAGGTCTTGTGCTTGGTGTTGTTGCACCAATAGCAGCAGCCGTAAAGGCCGCGGTGCTTGTACTCCGCCTCGATCACGTTAAACTTGACCCATGGTGCTGGCTGTCCGTTTCCGGCCGGCGATGTGGTTTTCGCCTTCCCGTTTCCTCGAGGCTTGTTGTTGCTTCGCGGCTGGACAACAGCCACCTGATCTCCCTCACGTGACGCTTGGGTGGCTGCCGGGTCTTCCATAATGTTGTCCGTTCGGACTGCAGCGAACTGCTGCGGTCGCGGACCAGTTCTCACCTTCTCCACATAGGTTGGCTGCCACGTTGACTTCTCGTGTACAGCCGCCCTGTTGGTTTTGATGACCTCCCTCGCCTTGTCAATGATTTCAGCGAAGGTTGCATATTGCTCGCGATCACCAAGTGCGAGGCTCAATGCAACACATGACCTGTTGTAGAACTCGCAGCGCAGATGCGAAAATGGCAAGTCGAGACCGGGTGTTGCCGCGATCTTCTGCCAGCCAATCACGTGTTGCTGTGTTGCCTTGTGTCATGTCGAAGAGACGGTTGATGGCGAGTGCAGGTGCGTCGTCCACGATGAACCGCTTCTTCCATAGTCGTGTTAATTCTTCCCATGATATCTTGTCTTTCAGATCTGCGACGTCGACGCCGTGGGTGGATGCCAGGTGGCTCAACAAGGTCTGGCATCCGCCCTTTGAGTTGAGAAACAAGGCGCCGATGTACGCGTGCTTGGCGACGAACAGAATCCGAAGTGGTGTCGTAAAACCTTCGCACCAGAGGACCGGGTCTTGATGCGCGTAGTCATCGAACTTCTCAATTTGGAATGTCGGCATCTTGTAATGCATTATGTTGTTGCCATCCTTGTTAGGCAGCTGCAGTTGCTGAACCTCGGTCTTCAAGGTATCCAACTGTTTGCTGATGGTGGTTGGCGCCTCGAAGGTGCTGATGTCGCCGAGCATTGCGACGACGTGGTCGACGCGTTCCTTCAGTTGGCGGGTAGAGGGTGCACTGCTGGACTCGCCAGCCTCTGATCTTGGTGCTACTTGCTCCAAGTCCTGTACACGGGAATCTACTGCCCGTGCTGCATCCTCGTGCTGAGCCTTGTGGTTCCGTACGGCACACTGGAGGCTCGCCAGCTCAGACTGCACGTGGTTACAAGTGTAAACCAACCTGGTTATGAGCTTGGCCATGAATTCCCTGTGCTGCTCATCCGGTGTCGCGTCGTCATGCCCTTCAGATGGTTCAAAGTGCCAAAGCTTGAGTCTTTCGATGCTGACGGCTTCATGCCGCTGCAGCAGATCCTCGGCTTCCTTTCGGCGTGCCTGGGTATCTGCATCTGCTTCGGCCTGAAGCCGCTGCTTCAGCCTGTAGGCGGGCAGCCTCGACTGCCAGCTGGCGCTGTTCCTCAGCGTCGATCAGTGCGAGCTGAGTCTGGAACCGCTGTTTGTAGTCGGCAATAGACTCGTTGGCCAGTTGGCCTGGCATGCCCAGAGCTGCGCCCGTCATGGTGGCGGGGCACTGCTTAGGTGGCACTGTTGCTAACGTGGACTGTTGCTGACGTGGCACTGCTGACGTGGGACTGTTGCTGACGTGGCACTGTTGCTGACGTGGCACTCCTGACGTGGCATTGCTGATGTGGCACTGCTGACGTGGCACTGCTAACGTGGCACTGCTCACGTGGCACTGTTGCTGACATGGCACTACTGACGTGGCACTGCTGACGTGGCATTGCTGACGTGGCACTGTTGACGTGGCACTGTACCAACTCGGAAATGCATGCAAAGGGTGGGTGGGGAGGGAAAACGCAGGTAGGGAACCAACCCAACAATACTTTCCTCCCGGCCCTAATCAACAGATGAAAATAAAAAATAAGAAATAAAAGAGGACTACTTCCTTCTTCTTTCTTTTTTCTTTTTTTTTTGTATATCTGTCGATCTGTTATGAGTGAGACATGTCAGATGAGTACTATAAACGAGATCTAGGCTAGGTTCCGCAAAGTTTCGGCTTTCACAAAAAACGCGATCTTGAAAAAAAAAAATTGCGAAATAGAGTAGAGATACAATTTTCAGAAAAGAACTAAATCCAGTTTCTGAGAATATGGCAACCTCCGAATATGCCTAACGAAAAGTTGGTAGGTTTCGCAAGATTTCGGTTTTCAAAAAAATTTGCGAGATAGAATGGAAATTCAAATTTAAGAAAAGAATAAATCCAGTTTCCGAGAATATGACCACTTATATCGTTATCCCAATATGCCTAGAAAACGAAATACTAACATCAGAAATTTTCAGCTATGTATGCGAAATATCAGAGAAACGAAATGCTACTATCGGRAATTTTCAGAYAAAACGAAATGCGATTTATCARAAATTTTCAGATATTTGTTACGTGAAAACGAAATACCAATATCAGAAATTTTCAGGTAAAACGAAATGCGAATATCAGAAATTTTCAGATAGTTGTTGCGAGAAAAAGAAAAAAAAATTCAGAGATTTGACGAAGTCCTACTTGATTTACTAACGAGTAATCAATAGATCAAGCAAGCTGCCTACTTGATTGAGCGGGTCCTCTGAATGAGAGGTCCGCTCGAATACCAAACTTTTGCATACTGTAACGGTGCAGACCAGAACAAGAACCGACCTCTCAACACAAAGTACAAGATAGCGTAACGAAAGACTTAGATACCAATGATCCGAACAGTCAATATTGCATCTCCATGGTGTGAAGGGGTCTGGCGCTCACACAGGAAGAAGGCGCCAGCCCCGAACCATACACAGACAAAGAAGAGGGGGGTTAGACGAAGAGGAGGGGAAGATGGGAATGTCGTTAACACCAAGTCTTCGGCACAGGCCCAAATAGTCCCTCGTCGAATGTCTGAATCCCAATGTCAAGTCTGGATCGAATGTCGTCAAGTCTCAAGTCACAACTCTCTCTCTCTGTAGTAGTCCGCTGATACTGAGAAGGAGGTGGCGAGAGGGAAAGAAGAGATGGTGGACTTAGAAGAGGAAGAAGAAGAACTCTCTCTCCGTCTCTCTCAGTCCGGTACTAACCTGTGAAGTTGGCGCCTTGATGCAGGTACCTCGAAGATGGAGCTGGAGCGATGGCGCCACAGGTAAGTCCCACTGGCCTCCGCCAGTCATCTCTCCCAACTCTACTACTACCACCTACTAGCGCCCAGGGCTGAAGACTGCTGCTATGGCTACTAGCGCCCAGCGCTGAAGACTACTGCTAGCGCTAAGCTACTCCCTGCAGCGCTCCTCCTGAGTGCTGCGGCTGAATCCTGAAGACTACTCGTGCCTACTGTCCAACTACCTACCCGCGAAGTGCATGGGAACTTCCTATGTACTACTCGGGTACCTCCTGGCTGCAGGGCGAGGCAGTCCAGGGGGCTGCTCTTGCCAGCCAACATCTCATGCGGTACGGCTTGCACTTTGGCTATACTCAGCAACGAGTTCCGAAGTGACAGAACCACAGGATCGAGAGTCGACTCATCTATAGCTTCTAACTTGCCTAGCTCCTTTGCCCTCGCTTATAGCCATGCTTTTCTAATTCTAGCTTTTCTTTGCTTTTTCTCTACTTCCCGTAACTGCCGCCGTAACTCTGTATGGAGAGTCTCCGTTTGCTGGATCTCGTAGTCCTCATCTGACATGAGGTTGCTGTTGGCTGACCTGCAAGCCAACTCTCTAACTCGTGGAAAACCCTCACATACTCGAACTTGCACCTGACGAACTGGCCTGAGATGAGGCTTGTGACTTAGCACAGTCGGCAGCCATGGCTGCCTCTGTTGTGGCTCTAGCTTCTGGTGTTGTGGCTGTTGCTAGAGCCCTCTCAGCGTCGGTCGCTGCTGCCCTAGCCCTCTGCAATATACCCCTCACCCTGGCCTCTCTCCGCAGTCTCCTTTCCTCTCCTGATTCTAACACCAAGAAAGTGGTCGGCTGACTGAGTGCAAGTCTACGGGTAAGTCTCCTCTCTCCCTGGTCTAGTCCTTCAACCTCACTGTCTTGTCCACTCGTGAGCTATGCGCGGAATGCAATCTGCACTAGTGTCCTTGCTGGGAACTACCGCAACATGGCACCCAACCAATTTGTAAAAATAAAATAAAATAAAATAAAATAAAATAACTATTTGGTCTAGCTTTATCAAAAAGTAGCCAAGCAGTAACAACAGATAATCTCAGGTTCCTCTAAATATCCTACTTTTGACATGCGTAGCACGGCGAACGTGTTCGCGCCCCTTCATGTTCGCGCAAACGTGTTCGCACGTTTCGGTTTTTTATTTTTAACTTATGATTGGTTACATATTTGAACATGACTCCGAGGCAAAAGTTGCTTGCATTATTATTTTACATAACATATATTTTTTCCAGATTTTTCTGAGATTCTTTTTTTTTTTTTTTTTTTTATGTTCGCGTTCGGAGGGTTTTGGGCGCTTGTTCGTGTTCGGGCGAACATGTTCGCGCCGAACGCGAACGCGGTGCTACGTAGCTTTTGACTAGTTTGAAACAGGTTGCAAACCAGCCAACAATATTACACCTCTATCTGCAGCGGTCTGTTAGTTGTTAGAAAAGCCCGTCATAACTAACTAATCAAAAATAAAAATAAAATCATTTGCAGATGTGCATGAGGAATGGGATTATACAATAGTTAACAATCGAACTGTTTACTTGCATCTTTCCTCCCCGTGTACCCCTCTTGAGTAGTCACTTGTGTCGACGTTCCGAAGGTTTGGTTCAACGGCGTGTTTGAAGGTGTGCAATCGGCCCACCCCTGTGCCCCAAATCTATGCGGAACTGGCCATCCCTGACCGTACTATTTTTACACTCGCGTTCAGCACGAGTCGTGTATGCCCACCACAGTCTCTTTATAGACAGTCTGGTACTCTCTCGCTCATACGGCTGGCCTGCCCGACATGACCTCTGTAGCACAGCAAGCAGACCAAGGGATGAGCGACAGGCATGCGTGTACTGGCCTCAGCGGGCTAGCATGGTGACCATGACCCGAGTGCTTCGTGCAACGCCCTTCAGAGGCAACGCCAGTCTCCCACCAGCTTGCTACCCAAGAAGAATGTCGACTCTAAAGGTTGAGTGCTAGCGACACCTCACAGTGAGAGAACTCTCAAGACACAACTCACTTTGTGGCAGACCCCGGGACAAGGGTCCGTCAGGATGAAGATGAAGGGGTAAGGATGACGGAGATGGAGATGGAGCTGGAAGGGTCAGCGCAGCTCCGACGCTCATACGGCTTGCCTGCCCGACACGTTGTCGGAGGGTGTGGTGACCGTGACCCGAGTGCTTCGTGCAAGGCCCTTCAGAAGCAACGCCAGTCTCCCACCAGCTTGCTACCCAGGAAGAATGTCGACTCTCAAGGTTGAGTGCTCGTGACACCTCACAGTGAGAGGACTCTCAAGACAGAACTCACTTTGTGGCGGACCCGCTGGGATGGCGGTCCGTCAAGATGAAGAAGAAGGGGTGAGGATGACGGAGATGGAGATGGTGCTAGAAGGGACAACGCATCTCCGATGCAGACTCAGCACGTTGTCCAAGGACGTGGTGTCCCGGCCCTCCATTGCATACCAGTCGCCTAATCAAAGAAACCATGTTGCATACCAGCAGCCTGCTCGGGAACCTCCATGGTGTACCAAGCTCTTTGCTCATGGATTTCTACGGCGTACCAGGCAGACACGCGTAATACTTTGTTGAGGACTGGTCCTGTCGGCGCGTGCCCTGGCAAAAGAAGGGGGTGCGCCACTAGACTTTCCATTGGTCCACGCAGACTCGGCGCCCTACTGTACAACATAGCACAACCGGTCTGTGGCCGTGGTAGCCATCGGGCTCACCCAGGGACACGGAGGTGGGAAAGTCGGCGCAGTCTTTTCAACTGTGCGCACAGCCCCCTACGATCAGGTTATGGGACAAAAGCTTGAAAGGGGAAAAGAGAGAAATGGTAAAGGAGAGGAAAGCGGAAGGAAAAGAGAGGGAATTGGGAGAGAAATGCCACGCTTCGAATCTGCATCTGAACCTACACCTTGACTGTGGAAAAGGCAAATTTGACAGTCCTTAATGGTCGCGGTGTTTCATTTCCCTTTTTCCTTTTGTTAATTTTTTATTCTCTTATTTAATCTTTCTGAATTCTTTGTTCCACCCCGCCCCAGTCATTTCGCGGGGGAACGAACCATTCAATTTCGAATTAAGTATGGGCAGCCTAGACTGCTCAACCCTCGCACTTCAACTGCCGCGAGCTTGACTAGTGTGGTGCAATCAGTACGGGGCCCCAAAAATGTGAGAACCCGCGACCGCATCGGTAGGAGACGCATCACCCTGCAGAATGTCATGAGCCCCCTCCTTGCCCCCTCCTTGCCATCGAACACGGGTACCAATCAGAGGTAGTCC